CCCTTGCGAAGCTGCCGCCTGCCTCCGGCTCTGGGATGCGCTTGCGACGGAGGCGTGGGGTGTGGAGGAGGCCCCTGCCCCCTGCGCCTTTGGGAACCCTTCAGACTGGCGTTGCTGACCGTGATGAAGTCCGGCAGGGTGGCGGAACACGGCGGAGCCCTGCAGGAAAGGCAGCGTGCCTGCGGGTGCTGGGGTTGTGCTGGGCGAAAAAGGGTGCGCGTACAAAGATGGAGACAGAGATAAAAAGGCCACAAGGCTAGCACCCGGCTTTACCTCAGCTTTCTCTGTACGCACTCAGTAAGATTCCTGGCTGAGCGTTACTGTCTGTTATGAATTTGTTACAACTTCCCATTATTTCGGGGGAAGGCCAGTTTATTGACAAACACATAATCTATCTCTGTAGATCAGAATTTCTTTGATTGCATGAGCTTGTTTTTCTAAGCCAGCCAGAAATTCCCGCTCTCGAGGTACTGAAGCGACGAGTGCTTTCCCTGCAGCAGAGCTGTGTTAGGCAGACCGGCTCTCGTACCGTGGATCGCGGGTGTTTCTGTGAAGTCAGTGTCAGAAACGCAGCATCTCCCTCATCAGAAGTGCACGCCGTCGTTGGCCACGGCTGCTTGCAGTGGGGGCCAAAGTACGTTTACGGCTCTGGACTGGCGTCTCACAGCGATGCTCAGGCCGATGATGCTGCTCCTTTGAGCTTTCCTTCACCTTTCTTTTGCCAGGTAGCTTAAAAAGCAAAACAGCACTTTGCATTTCTTGTGGCCTATAGATTGATAGAAAACCCAAATGATCCCACAGCAAATCTGGCCCATACACCCTGGGGAAGGTTGTGCTTGGGTGGCAGGGAAAGCTCACCAGCTCTCGCCAAGTTCTCCAGTCACCCTGTTACCCGCTGCGAGGGCCGCTGTGCCATCTCCTCCCAGCTCCATCAGCTCTGCTTATCAATATTTCAGGTCCTTTAGAGGAACAATGCCTGCGGCGAATGTGTTAACTATTAATGATCGCAGGCTGCAGTATTGGCATTATTAGCAATGCAACCTTTAGCTTTATAATTAAGACCTACATTGGGATTTACTTTATAGGTCTCCCTTGAAAGCATGAGAAATTCAGGCACTTTATTGGAGATTTTCAAATGAAAGCCTGCCCAGCTCCCCCAAATTTGGTATCACTTAATTGACTTTGGATGCACGCTCAGTACAAACCCTAGCAAAATTGCCCTATGACAGGAGAGGCCAGCGGAGACGTGTGTGTGCCTTGCACTCTCCTTACTCATTCCTCATTCCTCATTCCTCAGCACTCAGCGTGTACCGTGGCCCAAGCAGGGTGGGAAACGCCTGTGCCAGGGGAAGGTAAGGGATGGAGATGGGGACAGTTTCTCCTGGTCCGCTTACGAGTGGCTGTGGTGATGGACAGGAATTTTTGGGGAGAAATTCAGCACCAAGCTCTTTCGCTCTCGCTCGTTCATCGCTGTTAGCATCACACGAGTGACTGCAGCCCCAGCAGGTGCAGGGGCAGTCGTTTTTTTTGCTGGGCAGCTCTTCCGTGCCAGCAGGCATCCCCGTGGCGGCCATGGATGCCTGGAACCAGCCAAACAGCCTGAGAGCACGGAGCACCTCGGCCCCTTGGTCTGCAGCCCTACGCCTTGTTGCTGGTTTCAGTCCCATTGGCACGAGATGTTTTATAGCAATTCCTCCAGTAAGTGGTGTCCAAAAATCTTCCCACACGAGCCGAGGCAGCCTGCTGTGTAGTTAGGAGAGGCCACGCCACCAGCACCAACGTGGAGAAACCAGAAGTTCTGCAGCTCTGCTGGCAGGATGTAACTGGGAGAGATGACAAAGCGCAGAGCAGAGCAGGCCTGCTGAAGGGGTGCTTTCTGTGTGTCCCCCCCCCCAGCTGCTGGGTTGTGCCTGGCAGAGGAGTTGGTGATCCCACCGAGTGGACAGATAAAAAGCTAGATCTAGATAAGGCTGAAGTGACTGAGGGAAATGAGATGGAACATTTGAGAAGCCATAACTGATTGCTTCTAGTGCTAATAGATCTGATTTCTTTCTTAATTGGTTGGTTGATAAGATTTAATGTATATGTCGTAGAATGAAATAAAAGGCAGGCAGATGGTCCAAAAATGTAGCAACAGCAGTGAGCCTGTGACATGAATATAGGTTTGTCGCTGTAATATTTGATACAAGCATGAATTAGTTGTTTCTCGAATCCATTAGGAAGTCGGAGTGAGCGATGGGAGTAGCTGCACTGCATCCGCCGTAGCGCCAGCACCCTGAGCTTCGCAGCCGGGTCGCGCGCTACCAGGG